TAATATATATATATATATATATATATATATATATATATATATATATATGGGCTACTTATTTAATGATATATAAAACATTTTTGGGTGTATTTTTTGGTATATATTACCAATACCGTGATAAATGATTCTGGTCCTAACACTTACCACACCACATATTGTCTCACATAATAACACTCATTATTAAAAAAAAAATTGCATAACTATAAAAATTAAGAATGTGGCCTTTGAAGCTAAAGGTTTTGTGGGTCCTGCAGCTTTCAAAGTTGATTGGCCCTGGTGCTGTTCTCTATCACTCAAACACTGTCCTGTTCACAGAGTCTGACAGTTGCTGCAGGCCTATTACATGGACACATCCAGTGTAAAGTATCCAGCAAATATGACTTGTGATGGAGCCAAATGGCCATTCTCTGTGAGGTTAATCAATTTTCTGTACATTTTCCAAGACTTAACCGATTGATTTTTTCCCCTACCAACAAGCAGTTCTATGAAGTCCAAATGGGAGGCCACTCCACATGACTATTTGCAGGTTGTACTGATTCTTAGTCTATTGATCGGTCTGCCTACAGCGAATATCCAAAGACTGCACCAACAACTGCTGCTTATTCAGCATTCTCTAAAAGACAAATGGAGGAGAAGCTGGAGTATAGTGAAGGAAAAAAAGGCAAAAAAACTGAAATTATATTTAAATCAAATTGCCGTTCAGTAACGATTAGTATTTACATAACCTTTTTTTTTTTTCAAATAATGACTTTTTAGATGTGTGTGTATGTGTGTGTGTGAGAGAGAGAGAGAGAGAGAGAGTGAGAGAGAGAGTGAGAGTTTTGAGTGTATGTGAACTTGTTTGTGTGTTTGTGGAAAAATGATTTAAATTGCACTCCAATTAAATGCCTAATTATGTACTTGAGAGCAGTTCTCTAAATGAAAAAAAGAACGTTGAGAAGTGTCTTGCAGATTAATGACAATACTTTATTGGGCTAGAGACAATAAATGGTGTAAGAAGATTTTCCAAATGAACAGTTATTGGCTGATGAGCATCAAGCAAATATGCATGTTTTTTGCAGTTAAAAAAAGTGAATTGTCTATTTATGTAAAAGTTAAAATGGCAAGATTAATTATGTTTTTACTACATCACAATATATTTCTCTGTGGTCCACTTATAATGTTAGATTATACATATAGACTATTGGAAAGTCTATTGGGATCATTAATTGTTTGGTTACCAACATTCTTCAAAACATATTCTTTTGGGTTCAGAAAAAAAAAAACTATTTTAAAATTAGGATTTGCATGTAACATGTCTTATAACACATCAGAAAGAGACAATTTTGCAATTTAGTTTCAATAAACAATGTTCATGATATTTAAAATATCTTTACTCAAAATTCTCATCAGCTGAAGTAAAGAAATGGTGGATAGAATCCCGAATCTTTTGGAGCCGTGTGGATTAGGGGTTATGCTAGCCACTCATTTGCCTCTTAAATTTTGATTCCAGGTGTCCTGATTTACAAAAAGATCCTTGAATCATCTCCATTTATATACAACATGTTTTGCATTAAAACATGCAGTATAGCATATTATTTGCATTGTGTAAAAACTGCATAAAAGCCATGCTGATATGTGTTATCTCTCTGATTCACCCATTTAAAAGGATGAGTGAAATAATAATAATCAGTCCATCTGGTTTTCAGGCACTGTTTACAACAATCAACACAGTGTCTCCTAAATGTGATTACTGTGGATGCATTTATTCCGTGTCAAATACATTAGTCTGTGTACTGTTGTGGTTTTATGCCTCTTCGGATGTGACCTGAGTCTTCACACATAGTCATTTTTCTGAAATGTCGCAATTCAAGTGTGACAGATTTTGGCACTTATATTTGTCAGCTTCATAAACAAAAGTATTATTAATTTTGCAATGATGTAGAATCATATAGTATCGTATCTGTCTGGACTTAAAGGGATCGTTCACTTTGAAATGAATTTTTGACATGTTTTAGCTTACCTCAAGGGCACATGTAGGTGTCTTTGTTTCCACAGTATTTTCAATTTTGACATTTTTCAGTCAAACCGTTGTTGTCTATCAGTCATACACTGGAGGCTAAGGGGGTCCACCAAAAAGTATGCACAGATAAGTCAAAATTAAACATGATTTAATGACTCGTAAATGTAAGTACACATTGATGGCCTAAGGCACGAAACGAGCGGTTTGTGTGTGAAAACGAACAGTATTTAAATCGTTTTATATATATATATATATATTTATAAATCGTTCATCTTGGATGCCCTTGAGGTAAACTAAAACGTATCAAAAATTCATTTCAAAGTAAACTATCCCTTTAAGAGTTCACTGCATTATTCTGCATTCAGGGCGCAATTTCAAAATCCACTCTTTCAAAACCCACCTTTTTTTTCTTTCTTGAACATCTTTAGTATACTCTAGATGAATAATCCATGAACTGGACATCACATGTACTTATCACATGTTATTTTTCATTTATAGTGTGATAAACTACAAGCACAGTGCAAAATGAGATAAATGTGAAATAGGAAATCTGGAGCACAAATAAAATATTTGAGGGAGGTAGGTGGATGAAAGGAAAAAATAGAGCCGAACCACAAAAAAAAAAAAAAAAAAAAATGTGTTTCATGTCAACAGCTAGATCTTGGCTGTACTGGAATCTGAACACAGCCCAAGTGCTCACATTCTCTCAGGCAATAAGCAATTTGCAACTTTTGCAATATTTCCATGTGCACCAAAGCAATTAAAACAAGAATGTGTGACCATTTTTGTGTATGCCTTGCACATTAGGCAAGTTCAATAGACCCGAGGCTCTTTGCTGCCTGGCCAATATTCTGTCTTATTTGATATTAAATTAGAGAATGTCAGAAATAATCAATGTTACCATGTAAAATAATCCTGTTGCTATTGATCGCCACTCTCCAGAAAGGCCAACTATGAACACGGTTATGAAATAATGAGGAATTGATCATGCGGCCAATGTAGCTGCTAGCAGCATGTTATATTCAACTTTAATTCACACATGCACATTCACATCTAAACTGAGATCATATAATAATAGTCGAGGATTGTGATGTTTCCGGTCATAATTCTTCAGATGCAACAGCCAACATTCAGATCGCTAGCATTGGAAGATTACCTCACCTCCTATTAGATGCCTGTCACTTCAGTTGTATTTGTATAAAGTGACACTTTGCAGTTTGTGAGGGACACCTAGCTAAAATCAATGGTCGGGAAGGGCTCAGTTTCAGTCGGTAGACGGTAAAGATACCTCTCCCTGTTCTGGAAACTCTGCAACGGCTCAGTTTTCATGCTGCTGCTAACATAGACATCCAAAAAAACAAGTGCCATGGCAGTGTAACATGTCTGGCTGATACTAATTCCAATAACTTAAAAGTAAAGGTCTGTCTAAAGCCAAAAAGACATTTTTATCAGTTTGATTGACAGGCTGATAATACCCTTTCCCAGGGTAACCACATTGGTTTCCTTGGTAACGTTTATTGCATTGAAACAGATAAAACCTGGCATGAACTTGAGCAGTGATGTCACAGTTATGTCTGCCTTTGTCTACCCGTTTCTCCTAAGACGACGCGGTAAAGTTTGCCTTTGAATCCTCGCCAGTTTTTGACACAATTACAGTGTGCACTGAACAAATGCCAAAAGTGCAAGTTATGTCTAAGCATCTCTCTTTTATATAGGACGTGGGAGTGGATTCAAATGGAATAGGGAGAATAAGGCGAGACAGGCAGCGTGTTAAACACAGAGGGCCAGACCCATGAATGACATTTGAAATCTCTTTGTGTATGCTGGCCTTCATTCTCTTCAATAGTGTGCTATTCAGTGGAGAGTGTGTTCTGGAGTGTGGATGTTATAGACAGAGACCAGGTAAAAGCTGATTTCAGAGGAAAGAGACTACCAGGATCTTTGCCAGCTGTCTTTTGCCATTGCACAGTATCCACCTACCTAGAGACTAAATACCTGGAAAAAAAGCTCTTCTTTAACATCTCCATGGCATGTATGTGATTTGAAATTTGTTATCTTTGCTAAGTGCATACAGTAGTTCTACTGTAATCTTGTTTTCAGCAAATAATCGGAACTAGGACTCCTACTTGAAGTTCTGCAGTTGGTGCAACCTGTACTGTACTTGATTTTTTTTTTTTTTTTTTTTTTTTTAAAGACTTTAGAAACGGTCAAACAGACTTATGTCAAAGTTGGTATCTCGGCAGGGTGGCGTGACTGGTCAAATACTACCTTGCAAAGATTTAAAAAAAAAAAAGAGAGAGATGAAGTGTGGTTTTGACACCCTTACGAGAATATCGCAGATCTTACATTATTATCATGTCTTCAGAGATGAAAAAGAAATATATTTTAATATACAGCACAAAAACAGCTACAGAACAGAAGAGAAACAAAATATCTTGGAAATAATAAAACATATCAGCATATAGTAGAAAATATATGAATTAAGAAAATCAATAACAATAAGAATAATAATGATACATAAGGAATATCACGATTAATGATGATTGAATAGCAATAAATGAATATAATCCATAAAGAGATTAAAAAGTTCCTAAAAAAGAAATTAAAAAAATTGAATACAAATAATTCCACATACACCATGTCTATTGTCAGCACAGTGTGCAGGAACAGACTGAAGAAGCAGATGTCGTTAGCACACAATATTTAATAACAATCCACAAGATAATAATATAAAATACATATCTGATGTCCCCAGAGTGTGTATGTGAAGTTTTAGCTTAAAATACCCAACAGATATTATTATATAGCATATTAAATTTGTTTTGTGTCTGGCCTTTTAAATGCAAATGAGCTGCAGCTCCCGACACAGTGGGCGGAGCTTCAAGAGTGTGTTCAAGAGTGCAACTCCGATTACGTAAACACACGCTAAAATCTCAGAAACTGTTCTGCCTTTTATGTTTAAACCGGAGTCAGACAAAGATGGAGAGACAAAGAAGAAGTGACAACATGTTGAATGCAACAGGACATCTCTGAATGGTTAGTTGCTGATGTGGCGTTAACTATCTTCAATTAGCATATTCTGTCAGGATAATCTTTAAATCGCTTGTATAGGAACTGTTGTGAGATGCACACACAGAGTGACTTTCTATTGCATGTGAAAAGATGGATGCGCTGATTTCACGCAGCTGCCATTTTCAAATCGAAAGCAAGGCTCTGGTGGGAAGAATCCCGGAAGTACAGATAGACAACAATGTCTTGGACTAACTTACCAACCCGAAGCTGCTGCTGCGATTTAAACTATTAGATGTTAATATCCAATATGTATATAGTTCGTTCCTGCTTCTTTTTTAATGTTTTGAATATATATTTAAAAATGTAGTTATAAATTTATAAATGTCATGGTATATAGTCTAAACTATGAAAGAAAAGTATGTACATTTTTAGAATAACAAATTTCTACATTAAAAACAACAATACGCCATCGCATTCGCGACTCTCCTATGATTTAAAGCGACACTTCCGGTTTTCTTCCCACTGGAGCCATTTCAAAATGACTGCTGCGTGAAATCAGCACATAGTTTGAGCTGACTCACAATTTATTTTTTTTTTTTTCTGACTCACAAATGTGCTTAACTACAACAGCTCTTCCTCTTCTCAACATGGACTGTGTTCCCAAGGGTGTGGTTTAAATTTCAATTTTAGGGTTAGTGATGTCACTAACCCGTGATGAAGCTTGTGTAGTCCCTACCATCCGTTTGTTGTAGTCCTAAAAAACAATTTCTTTAAAAGCAAATCTTCCTTTGCTTTGAACTTTAAGCGTTGTAACTTTGCAGATGTTGTTTATGCTCAAACAGCAACATTAGACACTAACTAAAGTTAGAAAAGTGAAATCATAATCAACCACCCTTTTAACTGGTGTTCAAATTTGCGCAAAACAGATAATGTTTTATGAAGTTATAATGAAAAGTGTATGTCTGCATGTATATCTCAATCCAGTGTCAGAATAAGAGTCCTTTTTTACAAAATAAGAGTCTCTAGTATAGTCACAGAGCCTCACTCTTACAGTATCAGTGTCAAAATTGTGAAAGTGTAAATGGACAGTTAAAATGTTTAGTGGCTATTAACTTTGTAAAACTGCTTTCCACAGTGGCTGGTGAGCAAAAAAGAGTTGATATCAATCCCTGCCAAGTATATATTTATATGTATGTGGCATCCAAAATATATCAGGATAAAAAGGTCAATTAGCTTGCATAATGAGGAAATCCATACTCACTCCTTGTCTGAACAAACTGATCAATTATGGAAAAGTCAAGTGGTAATCCCTATTTAGCCTATGCTGGCCGTCTATTTTCCCCTGAGCTTTTCATTACCTTCTGTTGCTCCTCATGGCATGCTCCTAAGGAAGTCTCTTTGTTTCTTCTTTACCCGTCTTTCTTCTCTCTTGTAAGCCCAACTCAGTCAGCCCAATGGAGGTTTTTCCAGCCCGATCTCATGAAAGTGCGTTTCTATAACACAAATTTAATTTGTAGTGCCAAAATAATTTTGTGTGTAGCTATTTGATACGCAGTTTTCGTGTGTAATATGCATACACTCCACACCCCTAATCCTACCCAATAGATTTACATTGCATAGCATATGCACGCAAAAAACAAAACAAAACATTTTTGCTGTATAAATAGCATGAGAAATTAAATTTGTGGTATAGATACGCACTTTCATGAGATCGTGTTGGGTTTTCCAAAGTAATTTGGAAAATTGTGACAGTAAATTGTGGCAAAGTAATTTGATTAAATGAAATATTTTTTTTTCATGTATTAACTTGTTATTTCATTTGATTTTACCCGCTCAGATTTGGAAGCTATGTCGCTCAGAGGTCCTCTTTTCTTCCGCGGGTCTCATGATCGCAATCTCATCAGTTTTGATCATCAAACAGAGGTAATTGCTACTGTATATACCTGAGATCAGTCACATATATGTTTAAACTTGCGGGAACATACGAATCCAGTTAATCTACTTGGGAAAACAATTTTAGAGTCAGTTGTAATAAAATCAAATGTTTACAATTTATTAAGTCAGGTACTGTAAATGTATCATGCCAATTTCACAATCCGTTCAAAGATAATAGATACAAACCATCAAATGCTCTGGAATAAAGAGAGACGATGCAAACCTCCTTGACATTATGAAATATACATGATGAGAACTGTTTTGCTTACGCTTCACATCACAGGCTAGTCTGGGTTACAGAATCTCCGTGACCCTTCTTCAGCATCTCCCCAGACCAAGGCAGAAACCTCTTTTCAAATGTAAACAGAGTTCACAGTGGGAATTTGCATTAATTACCGTCCCAGACTTACTGCTGAAAGAAGTTGATTTACATGGAGGCACACCCTCAGCAGTTAACAAGATATCTTCAAAGTCTCCACACCTTATTTTCTTTTTGGTTTACTTCTGTGGGAATGAGACCTTTGTACCAGTTGCACTGAGAAATTTCAAATGATATGTATAATACTGTATGATATTTGTTCATATTAAACCATATAGGTTTTTGGGTGAATTCAGGTAGGGATGTGCGAAGGGAATGGTGTGTAAATTGTGATCAACTCAAGTGTGATCGTGTCTCGAATGGGGATGGTAATATAGCAAGATAGTTCAAATGGTAGTTTCCTTTAATTGTTTCCTCAGGGAGTAGCCCTTTTTCCCAGTTCTTCCTGTTTCTTCTTACACTGGCCTGTCTTTTTTTTTCCTATTCATCATTTTTACAAGCACACACACAATTAGATAAATTGGATAATTATTTAAATGTGGCAATAACCTTCCCATAACCATATCAGGCCAATTTTATTTAGGAATGGTATATCTGTATTCAGTATTCATGTTAACACTAATATACTGTATATATTATTGCTGTCAGATCGATTAATTGCATCTAACATACAAGTTTGTGTTTATATAATATATTTGTGTGTGGTTAATCGGTTTGACAGCACTGATTATTGCCATAACGTATTGATCAGAATATGGAGCTTAATTTGAATATAATGTGCAATGTGAAAATGGTCATTCATCCATCTTTCTCTTAATCCCTCCATATCCTCTTGGCATTTGTCGCCTTGTTTTCCTGTGTCTCCTCCTCTGCCCACCTCCCTCGCTCCCTGCGTCCCTCTTCCTCCTCTTCTAAGCCGCTTCTTGGATCCATTACAGTGTTCCCTCCCATGAAAAATCTGAGCCTGTCAGCAGAACATCATAATCAAATTGTTTCAAAGGTCATTTAACATCGGAGCACAGAACACCAACTAAGCCAAAGTCTTCAAAGGATCTGGCTCAAAAGCAATGTACGTGTCAGAGATGAATTGAGGAACGATACATTTACCGAGAAAATGAACTATCTCAGGCCTGTTTGTGACTTGGAGTGTCAGTCCATCTACAACGTCTGTTCTGTTACATTCAGCCCGTCCATATGTTTCTAGATAGATATGGCATCATGTTTCATGAATATTAGTAGCTGAGAGGTGATATTTGTTTGGGACAGCAGGATCCAGACAGCAGATGTGTATATCTTCATTTCTAAGAGCATATTTTGGCAGTTGACATTTGTTGTGCTCTTATGAATTGTTTATGCTTAGAAAGCACAAAACTGTAAAATTGCTGGCACAACTCGTTTGAATTGATTATTTGGAGCAAAGCTTCACAGATGTCTCTGTGAGGAATTGTGCTTTTTTAATAATTAGTAAAATTGTTTGGTACGTAATTTAAACCATCAACGCTTATTACGTTTCTGAAGTAAATCAGAATTAGATAATTTGAAACTAAATTAGCTGGCAGCCCCAATGAATCATCCTGTTCCAATAAACGTAATGGACATGCTAAGCTTTGATTAATTGTTCAATTAACTTTTCCTTATGTTACAACTTATTAGCTTTCTATGGATGAATATTCCTGCCACACACTTTATCTGGTACAGCATCCTAGTTTCTGAAATAAACCAAAACAAAAGCAAGGATTCTCATTTGTAAATTAGTCATCCACTCAGACAATTAAAAGCGTACCACCAGTCTTGCATATTCATGTGTTTTGCTATATTTAGATTTTTTGCATTGTTCTAAAGCGGGGAAGATTTTTTATTTTGCTCTTCAATTTGACTGTGCAAGCATTCAGTAATAAATATTTTTCCAATGGTTGAGTTCATCGGATTTCCGATGGGTAAATAAACTTCTGACCTATATTCTTTTTAATGGGCAGTCTTTAGTTTTGAAAGATCAGTTAAAGAACTTGACAGTACACCACAATATAATTTAAAATTATAAAATAATAATTAAAAAAATAAAATAATAATTTTTTTTTTTTAATTTCACAAAATAATTTATCGGTAACACTTTTTTTTGATAGTCCACTTTAGACTCTTAGCAACTTTAGAGTTTACCACTGTCTAACTATCGCCTAACTCACAGAGAATGAAATATCTGTAGCTAACTCGTTAAATAATGTGATATGCGATTTAATAATGCTTTAAGTGTGTAAAATAAATGTAAATTATATTAAAAGCTGCTGTCGTCATCTCTGTTTGAAAATGAAATCTGCAATTGCTGTCATTCGTGGAATTATCAACTTTACGTGAGTTGTACTTCGACACGGCACAGTGTGGATGAACACAATGTTTGAGGGGAGTGTGTGGCTGTCTGCCGCCATGCCGGTGTGGATACTGTCAATTAGAATCACAGATTATTCTGTTTGGAAGTATGACCAACATAAGAATTTTCACAGGAAAATGTCATCTGAACTAGTAAGAAACATCCACTTTTGTTCTGCTTCCGACACTGCAGTAAATCTCGCTGATTAAATCTAAAAATCGCTTATAAGTTATCATATCATGCAAAACCATGCAAATTATACTTTGTTCTCAAATTGTTAATGTTATAACAATATCCTTGTTTGCGTATGGGTCCGGTTGCATTTTACAGCGGGTGATTGTCATTTGAACTTTCCTGGATCCGCCATCAAATTGATAAGTTAATTATATCAAGTGCTGTGAGAAAAGGCTATAAATCTCCACCTCCAACATCCTCACACACAATATAGCCTACTAGCCGATGCTCCTTCTTTATGTTTACAGATGTGACGTAATGACGCAAAGACATGCTCCAATCTCCCGCAGAAATCCACCAGTAAAACTGGAATTAAAAACATTATTACAAGCTTACCACTTTGAATTGAGCTAAGGCAAGTAGATAGTTTTGAACACTGGCTGTTTTTGTATTTTCTTAAAAAATGCATTTTGAATCATTTACATTATTTTTGTGAGAAGAGAGTATCCCTACAACTTCTAAAAGTTACATAGTAACATTACATAAAAAGTAGTTTAATTACAACACTGCTTAGTCTTCCCTGTATTAATTAAATATAAACTGTTTTACTGTTATTCAAAAATTATTCAGCCAAGCAGGAAGTGAATTTCTCTTTGTCTTTTGTTGTTTTGTTAACACAGTTTTTCTCAGTTGCTTTGGTGCATTTCTCATATCCCAACTAAAATTCCCAAAAGTACTTTTCAACCTCCACATCATCTAGTCACTTGTGCAAATCATAAAAGTAATTTCTTATTCTTTTGAACAAATTGCAAATGAGAGAGAGAGAGAGAGTCTTGTCTTTTTCATTGTATCGTACTGACAGTGTACTGCAATTTGTTGACAGGGCAACAGTAACAGTGTCATTGTGAATCCTGTCCAGTCTCTTGGCATCAATATCACACTTAGAGTAATGTGTAAATTTATACTGTTGAAATTTAGACATATCATACAGAGGACGTGCAGTCTTGGGCATTTTCAATAATTTTCATCAAAATCTTTGCCATAGTTTACATGAAAATACTGACTGAGTACATTGTTATATTGACAACATGACTAAGCATTTTGACTATCTTGTTTGTGAACAATGGCACAAGGACTTGTCATTCTGATTGCACTGGTATGTTCTTTGACAATACTTAATTTTGAGAGATGAACTAAGGATTTTTGAGCAAGTTACTGTCTTTTGCTTGTAATCCATTTTGTGGTGCTGTTTCTGCTAATTGTTTTTAGAAATGCATCTACTGGTTTGAAAATCTTAATGATGAGTCAAGAACTACACCAAAGACTGAGAAACGACTGAGAAAAACTGTAAGACAGAACCAGGTTTAATAGGCTGCTGTCACATTAAGAGCTGACACAATGTATTGTTTCACGGCACTTTCTCAACTGTTTAGTCCGCTTAACGCATAACAGACTCAGTTTACATGAATACTCACCAAGACAGGCATTTTGAAATATTTTTGTGTGTATTTGGCGATGTGAGCTGAGAAAGAGAACTGAAATCGGGATAACATGCTCTCAGAGAGGCGGCTTTCTGTGCTCATGAGTACTTTGCTAATTGCATTTAAAAACATTAAGCATGTCACAAGTATGTATTCTATCTATCTGTCTGGCTGTCTGTATTATGTTCTCATAATTGAAAACAAACTGAGGTGTAGCACTTAAAAAAATAAAAAAAAAACATAAAAAAACAGCTTATACTGTTTTGAGTATGCTCAACTTATGGAAAAAATATATATCAACTGAACAATTGAAGATGTTGATGTTTTTACTTTGAATCAACTGCATTTACATTACATAATGGTTGTATAGTACTGTCTTACCTGTACTTACGGGTTACTTAGGCCTACACCAAAACAAAAATAGTGACCCTAATGGGATCTTGAAACTTAACACAATTTAAACAACAAAATATTATCAAAAACATTCATCCATAAATTCTTCTTCAAAAATGTGGCTTTTGGTGCGTTCTATTATTTCTCCGTCTCGGAGATCCGAATCGGAAAACAGACGTTGCCTAGCAACACGCCCCCTTTCCTCGGATTTCTCCTCTCGGACGTCGGACAACCGTGAGGACAATGAGCAAGAATT